CTTAAGAACATTCTACTTATGAACATTCCATACATACAAACAAAATTTTTTAAGTACTAAAGTCCAAAAATTTGTTTGAAAGATGCTAGCAAAATTCCCGGGCGCGAATATAGTTCAAAAGTCTGGTACTGTATAAGGTATGTCGTACTTATTGGGATTTATTTACAGGTATTCTTAATGTAAACTAAACTTTAAAACAATGGGAAAAAAGGTAATGGAGACCTAACTTTCGTCATACAAACAAATCAACTTACAAACAGCCTCTCAGTCCCCATTATGTTCTTAAGTTGGGGACTTACTGTATATGTGTGTGTGTGTATATATATATATATATATATATATATATATATATATATATATATATATATATATATATATATATATATATATATATATATATATATATATATATATGTATGTATATATATGTATATATATGTATATATATGTATATATATATATATATATATATATATATATATATATATATATATATATATATATATATATATATATATATAATGTATATATAATGTATATATGTATATGTATATGTATATACATATATAAACATATGAATGAGGAAAACACTCTACTCTACTCTACTTATACATTTTTTTTCCCAGAGAGATTGATTGATTGATTGATTGATTTACTGGCTCTAAGCAACACAACATCTGTTACCAGCTGAGTTCCCTTTCCTTTGCAGAAAAAGGAAGGCCAGGATGCCACCAGCAGGCCCAAACCCAAGGCTCCGGCTGGAGGTGGTCTGGGCCTTCTCCCCCCTCCCCCTGGAGGAGTGAAGCTGGCCCCACCACCCGGCGGTGCTGGGGCTGCCACGTCCTCTCCCACCGCCACCCCCTCTGCCCCCTCAAATGCTGACTTACTAGGTGGTCTTGTCGGCCCCCCGAGCACAAGTGTCGCTCCACAGGCAGCAGGCAATGCAGAATCCTGGGGCGACTTCACTAGTGCTGCACCAAAACCACCTCCCCCTGCTAGGTGGGTTTGCGCACTTCTTGTTGGTAGATAGTTGTAATGTGTAACATATAAACATTTCTTCAGGTTTTCTTCGATTTGTCACCAGAATAAGCAGTAAGTTGATTAACCCCAAGCCGCTGGGGATGGCATGTACATATATCCCATGTCAACTGAGAGTTTGATTTACTGATTGTTTTTACACATAGATGGCACCACAAGTACTAAGTCACCAATTAGCAAATAACGAGTGCTATTGGTCTCACCTGTTTACCCTTTTCCTTGATTTTCAAAAATATTTTCAGTTACCTAATATTGCTGTGACTAATGGCAACATCATCATCATAATGATAAAGTCTGTCATAAAAATAACAGCATCGATATTGGTAGCATTAATAAAAAAAGATAATAATAATTCCTGTAAACTCAAGGAAAGGTGAAATCAGGTGAGATCACAAGATCTACTAAGTGAATCCTTTGTGGCTAAGCACTTGCAGGGTTCATCTTTGTGCAGGAACATTTCACCAAACAATACTACAGTGAACACAACATTTTCCCAGGGCCTTAGGGGTAAAGGATAGTCCTATTTTTTTCAATGTCTGTTTCTTTTCTCCTCTTGATCACCAATCAGCCATTGTAATTTACTTTAACAAATTCTGATCATCATTAACTTTAATTCATTAACATTCAAGAACTGCTGATCATCATTCTAAAGCCACTGTTCCACTTTTTCTTTCTTTTTTTCTTACTTTTTTTTCTTTCTTTTCAATAACCAGCTTGCAAACTCCATGGCTACTGTGAAAAGAAATCACATATAGAAATAATAAGCGCATGTAATAGATATAAGGATACAAATTTCAACATTTATTAAAATTCATATTGAAATATAAATATATGATTAAATTTGCATGTGCAGTTAAGTAGTCCTTTCTTAGCAGACTATAGACCCTCTCCTCTCATACGCACATCACCAATTCCTTATGATCAGTAGCATCTTATTCAGTGTGCAAGAAAATTGTCACAAGAAAAGGATTATACCAAGTCAGAGGTTGGTGGAAACAGGAAAATTCAATATTAGATATGTAAAAAACAACAACAGCAACAACAACACCCTTGCATAACTGCAGATTAATTAACTTCTAAGTACTACTGATGATCAATCAGTCTTTCTTATTAACTTCAGACAACTTGCTGTTCTTTCCCTTTCTAGCAACTCAGCCAGTGGAGCTTCAGGAGGCAGCGGCTGGGTCACCTTTTAGATACTACAGCAGAGATGGATATACAGCTGCAACATGGATGCTATGCATTAGAAATTTGGAAAATACAATTTTGGCTTAGATGATATGTATATGTATATGTGTGTGTGTGTGTAAAGGTTAAAAAAAAAGAGGGTTTAGGTTCAGACATTTTTTCTTGTCTTGGCTAGAAAATTGTACAGAATGAAATTTCAAATTGAGACACATGCCACGATAGGATCCATACTTTTAGTCTTCCCTACAGGAAGATTAGCAAAAAACATGCCTCTTATTTGCTATGCCAGATTTTTTCCCCTTTCTCCTTTTTTTTTTTTCTTTCTTTTTCTTTTTTTCTTTTTTTTCCAAGAATGCAGAATGGGGAAGTAATGCTCATAAATGCCAGAGATTATTTTGTGCTCAGTATATTCAGAATAGGCACATTTGAGGAACTAATTGAAACCACCAGACAGCAGCAGCAAGTGACTCGTATTTTCAGCTTTCTTGCTTAGGGGTTAAAATTGCAAAGGCACTAGTCATGTGGAGTAAGAGCATATCAGCATATACTTTTTTTTCCCTCATAACCAAAAGTCCCACAGAAAGGAACATTGCCATGAATAGTTAAGAGACTTATTGCACTTGCTGTGTGAATGGTACATTAATAAATGCTTAGAGAAATGCACACTTCCCATTGGCCATCTGAGATCATAATCTGTAATATTTATCATCTTGAAGGAGAGACTTGTTCAAGGCATTCACCTATTCGATGTTCTTTCTTTTCTTCTTTTTCATTCTACAAACACATTTTTTTTTTTTTTTTTTTTTATGATGAAAATTGTCATATACTCCCATTCCTGAAAAATCAATGATAGCCCTCATGGTATGTTCAGTGTTGTTAATGGAAGAGTTTTACTGTTATATAATTTTAGGTCAAGGGCAAAAGTAATCATTAGCAATTACTACATATCTAGAAAGTAATCAGGTATTTTAAATGATTAGGTAAGTGACCAATCATTTGTAGTGCATGTATGGCATAACGTAACTCTTCCCAGATAGAGGGAAGGTCCATAGAAATCCCCTTTATGACAAAGTGGACAATAATTAAAATTGTTTGGGTGAGCGTAGCACTGTTACAGTTGTATCGACTTTCTTGTTTTCTATATATTAACTAGTTATATATTCCTTTAGCTGAGACTATGTTATAAATTCCTATTGAAAGCAGTAAACTTTGTTATGTAATTGGATTTTTATGTTCTAAATGCCTATTTGATTTTTGGGGTTATACTTTTTCTTCTTCTTCTTCTTCTTTTTCCTTTTTCCAAAGTTGTACCATTATGGATTGCTCAGAAATCTTATCGAGAGATACAGATTCATCTCAGCATGCTCATTTGTATTGAAGAAAGTGGTCAAAATATCCATATACCTCGATTTGTAATTGACTCATGTTGCGAAAAAGTTCTTTTCGTACTGCAGACTGATTTACATTTAGTCTTGTGAATGATGGTTATTAACATACACATGAAGTATAAAAGTGTTATGTTAATATGCAGAACATGTACACAATTAATTTGAGACGTTTTATATCCGACTCTAAGATACAGGGCAGTTCTAATTTTTAAAAAAGATATGATTGTTTAACAAACTGTAAAGAGTTGTATTTGATATATTTTTATTCCTTATAAGGTTAATATATAATTCATCAGCAATTCCATGTACCTAGTTCATTGTTGTCAATAAGGAAGTGTTACTGATATTTTTAGTACTGTCATCAGCATTGGAAAAAAAGGAAAAAAAAGTATAATCGTAATTCATGTATATGAAATATTGACTGTTTAGAAACATAGTGTAGATAATAACTGTAGTGTATTTGGAAGACTATGTGTTCTTCCTTTCCCTCATAGGGAAGGTATGAGTTGTTTCTTAGAGACATTAAAAGCTTCCTGTGCAAGCCAGAAACCCCTGTTGTGTTTCAACAAACGTGATGAAGAATCATTCCTTTGTGTGTGGCTAAGGACAGGATTGAGTATTGGGGTGTGATGTGCGTAGGTTCCTTCCTTCCTTCCTTCGTAGAGTAATAGAGAGAGAAGCTTAGTTTGTATTTAGAGATGTAAAGTATTTTTACAACATAGTTGCAAGAAAGATTTTTTTTTTTTTTTTTCCCTTTCTTTTTTTTTGTGCACTTCATTAGGAAAAGTTTATTTGTATTAGGCCTAATTATATGCTGTTTTATAGGTAGTTTGTTTCCTTCTTTTATGGAAAGGGTGTCAGGGAAGGGATGTATAACAGGACATGAATTTATTCAGATTTTATAAGCAATATTATTTTCTTTAGTATTGGGTACAAGAAATGGGGTAAGTATATAACATCTATATAATATGAAAGCAAAAAACAGATATATATTTTGACCATTTTACACAAAACGGGACTAAAATCGAGAAGCCAGTTTTCCTGAAGTTCAGACATGGAAGTCCAGGGAAATGAGGGATTGAATATGTGTAATTTTTTAAAAATAAGTATTTCTGTTTTTATTTGTGATTATTTTCTTGGAGGGGAGTCTAGCTAGGGTTAACGAAAGGAAATTTTTATTTTCGTGTTCTTGTTGAAAATTATCTGTAGTCGTACAGTTAGTTTCTTGAGTAAGTAGGGACATTTTACTAGTTTCGTCATCCACATTTTGCGTTCATTTAGATTGGTTTTATTCATATTATGATAAATTTCATATATTTTATATTTTTCACATCAATGTCAAGGAAAAAATAAATTGTTGAAAAATAAGAGGTGGCTTCGCATCTG